GACTGTACCAACCTCGGTAACTCTGTGCTGGACTTAATGTAGGATTCAAATTCGAGAGCTCTGGCCATTGCATGCTGCATGGTAGAGGGGTGTGCTTGCTTCACTTGTATCTTAAGTTGTGGACTGTCCAAGGCATCTACGAACTGATACCTCAGCAACAACTTGAGGAAATCGGGTGGTGCAGTTGGGTAGGCCTTGTGTGCCATGCTTTCCAAGTCCTGTGCCAGCTCTTGCAGGCTCTCCCCTTTAGCACGGACTCTCGTTCTAAACCTAGCCCTGTAGACTTCTGACTGATTTTGGGTTCCGTACCTGAGTTCTAGAGCCGCTACCAGTGCTCTATAGTTGTGCCTATCATCTGCTGACAACTGTCCAAGTATTTCCAGTGGTTGTCCCTTCAAGCTCGTTGCCAGATATACTGCTTTCTGCTCCTCTGTCCATCCGTTCATCTCTGCCAGTAGCTCAAATTGTGCTCTATACGCTTCCCACAGTGCTTTCCCATTGTATTCCTGTGGCTTCCTTCGTACTGGATCACTCCTATTACTGACATTCATATCTGGGATGTGACTTCTAACAGGACTGAAGATGTCTGCATTAGGGTTTAGCTGTGGGCTCTGGAAGGGGCTTGTCATTGTCTGGGGCTGGTTAAGTCGATGGCTAATGTATCCTCCTTGTGTAAAAGACAATAAATCATCCTTTAATGTACCTAAATCGCTTTTAAATTTACTAATGTTTTCCATTTGTACTTCTTGTTCCAGTTGCCACTGCTGTAGTCTCTCTTCTTGTTTCTTTTCTCGTTCCTCTTGTTTATTTTCTTTCTCCTCTAACAACTGCTCTAATTTTTCTTCTTGTTTATTTTTTTCTCCTCTAACAACTGCCGTAATTTCTCTTCTTGTTTATTTTCTTTCTCCTCCAACAACTGCTGTGGTCTCTCTTCTTGTTTCTTTTCTTTTTCCTCCAACAACTGCTGTAATCTCTCTTGTTTATTCTGCTGTTCGAGCTGCCACTGTTGCAGGTTTTCTTGCAACTGCTGTTGCCTCTTTTCTTGTTTACTTTCTCGTTCTTCTTGTTTCTTTTGCTGTTGTTGTATTGCTGTCATCAAATCTGTTAAGCCGTAGTTTGATATTCCGCCCCTCGTTTCCATCTTCTCTTTTTCTTCTTTTTTTTTATCCCACTTTCTAACACCAATTTGTTACGTCTCCGTTCGTTAGTTAATTTTCCGTAAGTTCGTTCTGACGAAACTTTAACAACACAAGTCCTTTCTTAAATAAAACTGGTTTATTCTTTCTGAATATAACTTTACGATACACTTAATTTCAACAGTCGCTCTATTACAACGCCATTATTCATGTGGCCAACAATATTTTGTCTGCATACATTCAATTAGTCATCACACTGTTGTCCCATCACGTTGTGAACGTCTTATATATACAAGACTAACACATATCTAGTAAATGCTAGGGCATTCTTGAAGGAACAGGATATTTCTAGAAATAGGTGGCGTGATACTAATCACGTGACCTCGCTGATCAACAATACTTTCTATACTGGTGAAGCATGATGTATTAGTGATAATCTATGAGATATTACATCACAATAAAATGATAATAATTTTTATTATTTTGAATTATGGACCAGAAGAAAGGCAGCCAGCCAGCAACAATCGTCACCAAAATTACTTTGTCGGGTTCTTTAAACCAAATAATGGGACTGACTGTTACGTTTATGATCTGATTACACTTGAAAGTGTGAAACATGTTCAGCATCACCATGTATCGAATCCCAAATACTACACTATTGGCCTCCCAATGCTCTAACCACAAAGCCACGCCTTCCTCTTCAAACAAAAGAAAACATTTCACTGAGAACTTACAGGAAGATCTTAAATATACAAGGCAAAGATATGAAAGGTTATGGTTTCACTAAAAATTGTATTTCTCTGCTTTTATAACTAATTTTAATATTTATAACTTATAATTATATATATATTTATAATGTAAAAGTTAATGTTCCTTTTTTCTTTAGTTTTTATTTTCCTTTCCAAAAATGTTATAGCCAGTTGCTAATTTCTTTCTTTCTGCAAAACGTGAGTTTCAATGAAGATGATGCAGAGATTTAATCTATTCTGTGATTCACTGCTATGGCTGCAGTAGACTAGTTGAGCTGAGTTTACAGATCACCATTGCTGCTTGCAAGAATGAAGCCACATAATAAAGTAGGCCTCATGTAGTGGTGGAATGTAATCAGTCTGTTTGGTTTTGACGTATAGTCCTTTACTCACCAAAATCAAACAAAATTCTATAGCCAGTCGTTCTAATACATTATTGTTTTACCCATATTTCAATTTCTGTAAGTGTGTTTTTATTTCCAACTGTTATTAAATTTTATCTACAGTTCGTTTTAATGATAATTTGATGTATCTCGAAGGAAGACGTAGGCCTAAAACGTCAAAATAAATTAACACCACTGACAACTTTTTTCTGCATTGATATTTGTCATTAATCAACTATTTTTTTGTGCTGATTCTTCCTGATTTTCCCGAAAGGGGGCCAAAGGCCACCTGTTTTAACCAGTAGGGTGTTGTCTGTCAGTCAGTCAGTATACGCTAAAAAAGACAACATGTGCAGTTTGTACTGTCGTGACGTCAGTAAAACGTACGCATGCCATGAATCACGACAAGAATTATGCACTCTGTAAGCTACAACACAGCATGACATATGAACTTCAAAAGCAAGAAACAAAAATATTTATTATTCTTAATTTTGGTTTTATTTACTCTTGAAACAGAACACTTTTGAGGACCCTGTGCAAATACATCTGGTATCCTATATGGACTGGTTCATGCGCTCTGTTATACAAACAAGTGACATATGAGCCGATTGGCGTTGGGTCTGATTGACTGACCAATGATTATAACCATTAGAAATAATGAAGCAAGCTTCACAGCTTCTTCTGACGGCATCAGTGATGACTTCTATTCACCATAGTTGAAAATTAGCCTGTACAATTTTTTTATTTGTTTCTCGCCTTTGAATTCATTACTCTCCTGGATTCTTCTGATATTAAGCTGGATTTATAAAACACACAAATATTTGTATTAAAATTTCTTGATGTAGTTTTTTTTTTACATTTCACCAGAAGGCATGATGTCTGTTTATGTTTTTTATTTTGTTTTCCCTAGGAGACTCTTGCATAAGATCTCTCAATCAGTAAGTATGGGTTAGTTGTTTAGAGCAATCAAACATAACACACATCTGAGGAACCAGTTTACTTTCCCTCTCTTGGAAGATTCTTCCTGTCATAGCTGAAATGGCTTCTAATTTCACCCTTCCATAATTGGTATACAATATATCTTTATTCAGGTATATTCAGATAATTTTTCGAAATTTCCATGCAGTTCCTGCATGAAGTCAATCAGATACGTGTCAATCTGATGTTGCAAGGTCGTAAACACGTGTTAATTATTTTCATATAGGTAATGGTTACATATCAACCTGGAATGGGCTCGTAGTTAAGGTGCTTAATTGGTTGGAATACCCATCACCAAACTTGCTCGCCCTTTCAGCCATAGGGGTGTTGTAATATGACACTAAATACCGCTATTCGTTGGTAAAAGAGTAGTCCAAAAGTTTGGCGGTAGATGGTGTTGACTGGCTGTCTTTTCTCTAGTCTTTCACTGCTAAGTGAAGGCTGGTTACCTGGAGAGGAGACGGGCATCAATGGGTAAATCTGCCCTTAGAATCACCGATGACACATCAGTATCTCAGGTGCCCACCCCCAACTTTCATAAGCAGTCTCAAGACTGAAAAAAGGATACTGTTACGTCTCTGGTCGTTTGTTAATTTCCCGTATAATTTCTTTCGGAGGAAACTTTAGCGATACAAGTCCTTTCTTAAATAAAACTAGTTTATTCTTTCTCAATACAACTGTGCAATACACTTAATTTCCACAGTCACTTTAACTTAAACACACGCTATAATTCACAACGATTCACGCACTTTTCTTACAGTCACTACCGCTCGCATGACTCAATTATCTGTCTCTATATAAAGCCGGGCTTAT